CTCGAGTGCAACTCGATTGTAACTCTGTTGGAAACCGATTGCAACTTGATTGCAACTCGATTACAGCTTGACTGAAACTTCATTGTAATTTCGTAGAAACAGCTCGAAAGCAGCTCGATTGATTATTACTCAAATGCAACTCGAGTGTAACTCTATTATAATTATTTTAAAAATCGATGGCATCTCGATTGCAACTTGATTGCAACTCGATTTTTACTCAACTGTAAGTCGATTGCAACTCGATTGTAATTCTCTTGGAAATCTCTTGAAAGTACATTGTAATTTGATTGTTACTCTACTGAAACTTTATTATAGCACATCGATTGCAACTCGACTACAGTTCGATTGTAGCTCGATTGTAACTCGATTGCAGCTCTATAGCAACTCCATTGCAACTCGATTATTCATACTTTTTAATAACTTATATATTTAGTTTGCTTCTTCAGATCTGTCTCCCTCTTTAAGTACCACACACTTTCTGATTAAATAAAATGACTCTGTGCTAGTTAAGGCATAAGCTTAGTTTAGTTTGCTTAAAGTGAGTTGACTCGTAAATAATTTTGTCTTTGTTTTTCTGAATTTGAGTAAGTCATACTCTAGTTCGTATAAAGCTTGTTACAAAGATGATGACCTGTTCTTTTTATTGCAGATAATTTATATTTTCTTGCATGAGTGAAGTTAGTAAAAGCTTACCTTTGTCTCCAATTGATTGCTGCAAAGAGAGAAAGAGATGGGGATAAGTTTATATAGAGAAATGTTTTATATTTACATATATGCAAACATATATTATATATAGAATATTTGTATAGTGTTGAGCGGCACATACATAAGTTAAGCACACACACACACATACATAGGAGAGAGAGAAAGAGAGAGAAAGAGAGATATGGGAAACTGTGATGATGTTGATAGGCAGGGACATGCACATGCATGAATAGCCGGGCAATTGGGGAGTGAGACAGCGATTGCATGTGGCGTTCCGCGGACACCATCAAAAATTGGCAAATGAATAGCGGGACACATGCACGTACACACACACTTACACACATACACGTACACACACACATACATATACATATATGCTGCCGTGTGCTGTTGTTGTTTTGAAGGATACCGAATGGGATTGAATCATTGAATTGAATTGAATACGTGCGAGCACGAAACAGAAAGCACAGTTACGTGTCCTGTTCGTGTTGTTGTTGTTGTTGTTTGTGTTTGTGTTGCTGTTGGTTTGCTGCTGTAATGTATTAGCAGGATGTCACTGTATTGCGGCCTCGAATTATGCATGTTTGTGTGTGTGTGTGTGTAGATAGCAATATAAACAACAACAGCAACAACAACAACAGCAAAATCATAGATAGGACCCTAAACCCTGTCGCCTTCCCAAATGGAATTGCACGCGTAAAAGGCATCAAATGTTGTCCGAAAAACCAAAGGAATTCAAATAGAAAAGAGCAGAAAAAAATGAACAGAAAAAAAGCAAAACTAAAAAAGAAGAAGAAAAATAGAAGAAGCAAACCGAAAAAAAAAAAAAAAAATGAAACCGAAACCGAAACTGAAGAAAGCAAACAACAAAAAAAAAAAAAAAAAAAAAAAAAACGGAATGTTTTGAAGTGTTTTGCGAGGTCCGTCCGTGGCTGTGGATCCTTTTGGCTGTGGCCCCAAATTGACATCCGTTGCTGATTTTTAATTAAAAATTTGCGACGTGTGAAGTTGATTTCAATTTGGCGGGCCTAACAGACAGCTGCATGATGTAGTATAGACAGCCAGTCGACAGTCTGCAGACATACATGTGATACATGTGTGTGTGTGGGTGAGAGATGAAGAGAGAGATAGAAAGAGAGATAGAGAGGGAGAGATAGACAGACTGTAGAGACTATCTTAGTCATGCGCGTGTCTGACCGCTGGCAAGTGCAACTGTGCCAGTAGCTAACAGATGTGAGAACAATATGTTATCATAGTTAACATTGGTGAGATAGAAAAACAGCTTCGCTGCTTGCTTAAACTAATTTCTCACAGTTGGCATGTTATCTCAATTAACATGTCATCATAGTTAACATAAGTCAGATAGATGTTTCATATTCTCATAGTTGTCATTCATAGTTAATATGTTCCCTTAGTTAACATATCATAGTAAACATACCACACTTAACATAAGATAGAAAGAAAGAAAGCTTCGCTGTTAGCTAACAGATGTGAGAACAATATGTTATCATAGTTAACATTAGTGAGATAGAAAAACAGCATCGCTGCTTGCTCAAACTAATTTCTTACAGTTGGCCTGTTATCTTAGTTAACATATTATCAGAGTTAATATGTTCAACATATCAGAGTTGACATTTCTTAGCTAACATAAGTGAGCTAGAAAATCGGCTTCGCTGTTGGCTTAAATAAAGTTCTTAAAGCTAACATATCCTTCGAATTTTAACATAGTTAACTGGTTCCCAAAGTTAACGTATCTGAGCTAACATAAGTCATATAGAAAGACATCCTCGCTGCCTGCTTTAACTAACTTCTTAGCGTGGAAATATCCTTGGCATATCCTGTTCTAAGCCTGGCTAGAGAAGTACCTCCTCTTCCGCTTTGTGTTTACATTGCCTTAGCATAAGAAGGGTTCTACCTGTAGGTGTCAGCAGATATCGTTCATCGCAATCTATCTTGAACTGCAAGCATTCATATATATATATATACACACATATACACTAATTCATGTTAACCTCGTCGTAATTATGCCACCAAAATCCCCATTTGCATTCACTTTTAAGCTGTGGGTACTTCAAATGCTCAACTAATTGAGCTATGAGGCATACGAAGTGCTGCGGGTGTCAAAGTCATTGTCTTACATAATGCCGTAATGACATTAACCTTATCAAGTGCTTATTTAATATATGTGCATGTGTATGGGTGTGTGTGTGTGTGTGTGTGTGTGTTGAGAGGTTCTTGACGTTCACACGCGCATGCGACACGCATTGCCCAAAAAGCAGAGACGAAGCAGAGGACATAGGCTAGGTGGCCAATGGCCAATGGGCAGTGGCCAGTTTTATGACCGATACGCCGAGTCCGGCCCACTAAAAAGCTATTAACAAGTAATAATGACAGTAACAACAACAACAACAACAACAACAGCAGGCGGCCATAAACTTGAGTGCAACAGTTAGAGCAGTGGGAAAAAGTCGCGGTTGCAATGTGCCACACTTGAACTCATAAATTCGAAGAACCCGCAGATAACCTACATATATGTCTATGGTCTCTCCAGCCGTCGCACTCTGTCCCTTTGTCGCCCAGCGAACGTGTGCGTGTGTGTATCTTTATAAATAAACATTGTGCGTGCTTGTCCCACTACGTATCTGTTTGCATTTGTGTGTGTGTGTGTGCGTGTCTGTGTGTGCTTAAGCAAAGTGCAACATCAACAATGACTGCTGTGGCAGCAACAAGTTGATGCAGTTGCTGCTGCTGTTATTATTATTATTATTATTGCCGTTGATAATGACAACACAGATGACTGATGAGAGATATGCATTTGTCTGTGTAGGTGTGTGTGTGTGTGCGTGTGCCTGCCACCGTCGATATACCCATTAAAACATTAAAGCGATGCCCAAGTTCACAATCTTTGTGTATGACGACTACCGCCGACGCGACGCGAGCGTCAAGCGCACAGTGGCACAAATGCTATGAAAAATGTAATAAAAAATGCATATACAGCTAAAAGTATATATAAATAAATATATATTATATTAAATGGATAGGTGAAGCATATTAAATATTTTTATAAACTATTTAAAAAAAATTAAATAAAGTAAATAAAAAAAAAAAAATAATAATAAAAAGGAAAGAATACTATAGATATACTGAATGCATATAAAAATATTAATTTTTATATTTTGCTGCTTGGTGAAATTTTCTGATACTCAATCAATATATTTATACCACTGATGCATATTTATTTTCCTATTTACTTATTTTATATATGCATTTTTTTAAATATTAGTTTTAAAATTTTACAAATTAAAAAATTATATATAATATAAAATAATTATTAAACAAAAATCATATGAGCACAAATACAGCTATAGAATATATAGAGGCGCAGAATATGAATATTATTGAATAAAATAATAAAACGAATATAGTGAGTATAATAATGATTATACTAAATATTTTATGGAATTTTTTCGCCATATAATTTTCGCTCCTTCCACACAAAAATATATATATAATTATATATAATACTTAGAATCGTCACTTCGCTTTAATAATAAATTCTACGGGGCTTCACACAAAGCTATTTTCATATATATTGTAATATTCGTTATTATGGATATTTCACAATGAAAATGCAATAATATTAATTATGAATATATGATTCCGTATTAGATGACTTCCGCAATTATTTCAATCAGCTTCGATGGAGAGAGTTTCGCTCTGCTCTAAACTAAAATTACTTTCAAATTAGTCTTCAATTGCCATCGCATTAAAATTTATTTTTTAAGATATTAATATCTATAGTTTTGTTATTTTATTTGAGTCCGTGCCAAATATGTTTGTATGTAAAATTTATTATACATATATACATTTATTAAATATTTACGAAAATAATTTTGCTTTCAATTTATCGTTCTCAATGTTTTTTTTTTTTTTTTTTTTTGGTTTCAAAATGCTCAGAAAGTTTTTTTATGAATTGTTGCCATTGTGGCACGCTCCGTGTGCGGCCCAGGCACACGTACACACACACTCACACACTCGCACACAATTGAGAACCGGTATTGTTCCACATGCCACAAAAGATGCGGCTGGGCAAAAAGCACACAGAGCAGAACAGCTGCTGTTGGTGGTGGCACAGAAAGAGCATTAGCAGCTGTGTGGGTGAGGGGAGTCGGGATTGGGGTTAGGGAGAGGGTTAGGGCTAGAGGAGCTTTACCTGTGGGAAATTGCCAGCACATTTGGCCAGTCATACTAATCCATTCTCTTTCTCTGCGTTTCCGTTTCGCTTTCGATTGCAGAGATAAGCGGCACTAGGATCGTGGGATTGGCAACGCTGCAGCAGTGGAGCTGGAGGATTGCCGCCATGGCATCGTCGTCGAGAGGCAAGCGGCAGGCGAGCAATCGCTGGATGCTGTTGCTGGTGCACGGCCTGTTGGCGCTGGCCGTGCTGCACATGCACAGCCTGAGGGCGGGCGGGGTTGAGGCGCTGCCGATTACCTCGCGGCCCATCGAGGGCAATGCCCAGAAGGACGCGTGGGAGGCGTGGCTGCGCCTGCCCTACGAACAGAAATCGCTCGAGAAGCAGAAGAAGGTGATGCCCAAGTCCATATTCGCGCTGCCCTTCCGCCACTGTCCGCCGGGACA